GCCACCCCCTTCCCCTAATCCTCCTAACTAACCGCGTATTTCGTTTATGTCAGTGTTCACTCATAAAACCCCAGTCATTCAGGTGTACTGTCACAGTACGAGTCAGTTGTCCATTTTTTTTAAAAATGAGAACCGTTCGTGGGTGTTGGGCGAGTGCTCTGGTGCGGTTTGCTTCTTCTTTCCTATCAAACCTCTATCGTCCTTATCTCTCTATCTTTTTGTGTTTGTTACTTGGTAAAACCCCTTATTTTCGACACCAATAAGACCTAACAGTATTACAGGTGCCGTAAAATGTTACTTAAACAAAAGAGAACCCTGTGCAACAAGACAGCATATTGTGGTCTCCGTGATGTAAACTGAAACGGATCTGTATAAAAGAGGGGCAACAATTCAGGCACTACTGATAGTGCTGAACAGCCGTCAGCCAAATTGTTATTGATCATCATTATACTGTATTCGCTGCTTTCTTTTTCCCTTACGGTGAACGAATGTTTCCTCACAATCAAGAGTTGTTTTGTAACTCCACTGGGTCCTGACAGCGGGGAGTCGTAAACCATCAAAGCAATTTCCTAGCTCAGAGTCCTTTGCTAGGTCAATGCAGATAAAAGATCGATCTAGGGAGTTGTTATCTTAAGTTATACGGCTTGCGTACATTGTTCTGTCGGAGAAGCATAATGTTGGTTTAACATAAATATCCTTTGAGCATGCTTACAGCTGGCAGGCGCCCAAAATGCACTGTAGGCTTACACCTTTTGTTGAATCCCTTGTTACTTTTGGGAGATTTCAAAGCGTGTATTTAGAAAAGTAGACAAACCCCAATGGTGTTACATGCACTGTTTTCGCGGTGAGAAAATGAATAGAAATACGGGAATCTCACTAAAGGTATGTTGTTTTCTTGCAACCCTATCGTGTGGAGATTCAGGTTTGACCCAATTGTCGTCACCACGTTGCCGGTACACTTTCGGTAATAGCCTACATCGCTCCTGGCAAGTCGTTGGCCCAGAGTACAAGTGTTTCATGAAATTCGAGATAAGACCACTCATGTACTCAAATTCCCATGTATTGTGTCTCCAATAAGTTTGAAGACTCTAAGTACAGTATTTGTTGAGATATCCAGAACCCACTTGTCGTATGTCCAAAGCAGATTAAAAAAGAAGAGAGTACAACTGTCGGAACTCCATAAGAATTAATTTCGATGATTTTTGTTTTGTTGTATCTCCATTTGAGCCAATTGGATGAGAGAGTGCCGTCACGTGATTTTGTGGGCAAAGCAAAATAGCGTCGTCTAGAAAAGGACTGTTCAACGATCAAGAGGCCGTAAAAGTGCATGTTCATTGAATTTGAAAGAGTATTTTGATGAGTGTGTCTGTATGTCCCAGTTTCTTTAAATTCTATTTTTGTCATTGTTTTGCAATTATCAGAGCACTTTTAATTGTTTTGTTTTTGTAGTGCCTGCATAGACATCGTTGGTGCCTCTTCTTTTAACGTTAGTTGTGGTTCTGTGCCTGGGATTTTTTGGGGGAGGGGTGTCCCAAAGCTTTCTATTTTTCTTTTGTTCCGCTACAGATTGCTTGTATTTCTACCCTCTCTGTGAGTTGAGTATAGAATCCCCATGGCCCAGGAGACCAAACACTACCGGTTGTGCATGTAAAATCAAAACATAGCTGGTGTTATACTATTTTTTTGTTTCTTTTCACCTTCAATTATCGTTGCCTTAATTCTTATGAACATGGGTGTTTGGTTGTCAAAATGTGCATAGTCGTGTATCTGAGGTTTAACTTTTGATTGTAACATCTTTGGCTCATTTTAACATACATTGCTTGATAATATTAGTAATGTGTGTGTGTGTGTGTGTGTGTGTGT